CAATCCCAGCCTCAAATGGGTGGTTGGTGGGTGCTTTGGTATGGTCTTCCCCTTCCACTTCCACTTGGTTTGTTTTCAGTACTCTAGGGTTCTCCTTATCTTCCAGGTGGCTCGAGCATGGCATGTAGATGTGGCCAGCTTTTTGCTGGAGCACGGAGCAGACGTGGACAAGAAGGACAACTACGGACGGACAGCTCTTCATGTGGCTGCGGCTGTCGACTACCCCGAGATGGTGAACCTGCTCATTGAAGGAGGCGGTAGGGATTAAGGATTTAGTGTATGAATGTGGGTGGTTGGCGAGCGCTCTGGTATGATTTCAGTGTTGTTTTTGTCAGAAGTTCAGTTTATACTAGAAATTGTGTGAATGCCTGAACTGATACTAAGTCTGTTGAGATGTATTAGCATACCCCTATGCATGCCTATGTGTTTATGTAAATTTTTTTCCTTTTTCTATCTATACCTATAATTCGTTCTTGTGCTGTTGCAATGTTTTAGAATAGCTTGTCAGTTAAGTTTACTTACCTACTCTCTGCATATACTGTCAGGTACATGAGGCGGAGAGTGGGTGGTTGGCGGGTGCTCTGATGTGGTTTGCTCCTTTTTTCCTATCAAACGTCTGTCGTCCTTATCTCCCCTCCTTCTTTTTTTGTGTATGTTACTCTCTTGTAACACATAATCTATTCTTCGGCACTTATATGACCTTATTCTGTTGCAAGTGCCGTAAAAATCTTACTGAAACTGAGACGGAGAGCAGTCGATGCCACACTTGCCTGTTCCTGGCCACGTTCTTCAGTCTCGGCATATCCAGGCTCTGGGTGATTGCCTCATCCCTAATTGTGCCCCTGTAACTTCCAGTTGGTCTACCTCGTCTTCTTTTTCCAGTTGGTCTCCAGTACCAAGTCTGATAGGGCAATCTCGTCTTCGGCATTCTTAAAACATGTCCTAAATATATCCCATTTTCCCCTTTTTATGGTCGTGTTGATATCTTCAGTTAAAATATGGAATTACTTACAGTAGAGTCTGCATAAACTGAAATCTGCGGATTTGTCGATGTGCTGGTGTGGTTTACCCCTTTCTTATCAAATGTCTATCGTCTTTCTCTCTCTCCCTGTCTTTCTTTGTATGTTACTCCCCAGTAGTAACACCTCTAATTTTTGGCACTTAAAAAAAGTAAAGTGGTTCCCGCGTCCGATCTAGACATTGGGGATTGCCTTGTTAGTGAGACAACTTCCTGGGCCTTCGGCATTTTGTGGTAGTGGTAGGGTGGCCACTTCCTTTCCACACCGCCTTTACTTCCCCAACTCAAAGTCGGGTACCCATTACTGCTGGGTGGGCAGGAAGGGTAGAAAATTATCCACGTCCAAACCGAGGCTCGAACCTGGACTTTCCGCTTCGGAGATGAACGCACTAACCACTCCACCACCTCACTTTGGCATTTACATGTATAACCTATTTGCGTTGCAGGTGCTGCAAAACCCTTACCAAAATTGAACATTGACTTTTTTTCTCTACAGCTGATAAAGAAGCAAGAACCACGGAAGAATACCAAACCCCGGTCTTCTATGCTGCCAAAAATGACGCTTGCCAGTCCCTGAAAGCCCTGATCAAACAGGGCTGTCTGTACATGAAGGAGAAGGACTACAAAGGACGTACTCCCATTCATGTTGCTGCTGAACTAGGTCAGAGAGCAATGCAATGCATTTATGTGATATTTGGTTTGATGGTCGGAAATGTAAGGGTTTTTTGTTGGGGGTGGGGGGGGGGGGGTTTTGGGGGGGGATGTCTTTAACTCTTTGAACCCTATCGGACGCTGTGTCCAGTACTAGTGACAATTGTTTCGTTTTATTTAGTGTTTATTTTTGCTTGTTTTTCGGAACTATTCCCAAACCAATTTTTTATTAATGACTAAACCTTTTTTTCACTATTTAGAAGTTGGAGACAAGCTTTTGGGGTTATAATGAGACATAGTGCACTAGGTTTAGGTGACTAGAAAAAACTCGGGGAAACGGTAGAAAAAATTCAGGGCTTAAAGAGTTAATTTTAAAGTTTTACAGCACTCGCAACTGCATAAGGACATAGGGATGCATAGAACAGAAGTCGTTTGTTTTCACGTCAGTTCATAGCATGGCTTGGTTTTACTTTGCGAGGCAAAATGGTGGAAATATCTAAATATATTTTGTAAAAATGTATTTTTGAAAGCAGCACTTTACATAGTTTACCGAGGAATGTTAGGACGTTTTTTTATTGGGTTGAAGGAGAACCAAGCTGGGCAAGGAGATAAGTGATCAGGTTGTAACTTAATGCCCACATACTGTAGGATTGAACAAAGTTGACTTGGTGTGTTTTATTTTAAAAACATTTCTTCTATTTTAGCATAATTAGATCATTAGAGTGCTCAGATTGAAAATAATAATCTAAATCTTGTTGATGGGAGCGTACAACATTTACAATAAAATCCCAATAAAACTTGGAAATAATAGCTTTTCTCCCCTGAGTTACAGAAAAGGCAAAGTGAAATCAATGTAAAAAGATAATAAAGATTATGGAAGTATATATGCAGTTCAATTGAAAAAATAGAATGATCATGATACAACATGTTTTTGTTATTGCTTTTTTACAGTTCAGTTCAACTGAAAAAATAAAATGATGATGATATAACATATTGTTGTTATTGTGTGTTTACAGATCGCAGTGAAACTGCTCGGATTTTGTTGGAGCTGAATGCACCGGTGTGGATTCCTGACAACGAAGGAATAAGAGCCATCACGTGGATGATCAATAAGATGCCCCCAGTTGTAAGTCTATTGTTGTTGTAAATTTGACTTCTTCTTGAAAAAGGAAGGGATTCGTCTAATGAAGTTTCTGTTTATAAATTGGCAAACAAAGGAAACACTCTGAAATGATGAAGTATTGTTGAAGAGAAAAAATGTATCTGTATAGTAGCTGAGTAGTGCTTTTAGTTCTTTTTTCTTCCATACGTTAATACATTGTACAGCATCGAGAAAGCAATTGAAAAGGAAATTCTGAAGCAGCTATAGTCGTGGCCTTTTAAATAAATTCACTGCTGATCTAAATGTTTCTTATTTGAATACCCAGTGCCCAAGATCTGGAATGCTTTACGAATTACTTTAAGAGAGATCAAATCTTTTGATTCATTCAAATGTCAGCTGAAGTCGTTTCTGTTTTTAAATTAATAAGATGAATATTTTGAGAGATTTTCTTTTAGTCAGAATACAACGTTTTATGGTACTGTTGTATGTTGTACTGTATTGTAAAGCGCTCAGAGCCTGTGTACTTTAATCTCGGTTGAGTGCTATATAAATGTCATTTATTATTATTATTATTATTATTTTTCATAGATAACTGTGGCAATGTTTTAAATTACTGGATGTTAAGGCAGTCTTTCTGCTTTGCAGGCCAATGAAGCTCTGAACCAGTTCCACCTGACGGACAGGCCAAACAGAAAACAGTATTTCTATCTCAACTTTTTGGTGCGAGATAAAGGTAAGCTTCGTGCTATGTCTCTTTGTCTCTTTCTAGATTGTAAAGGTTTCCAACCTTGACTGATGTATTGTCGAGAAATTGATCAAGGGATGGGAGTTTCCGTCAGTATAGGTTGGCATTTTTGGTATGAATCAGAGATAGCAGGTTCGACAGTAGTTTTTTAAGCCTCCTTTTATTATAATCTTTCTTTTTTTTAAACCTTGTTTAAATTCAAAGTTTTTGGATGGTACCACAGCGTAGAAATGATTTAGTAGAGCTCTGTGAAGACTGAACAATGAATTGATGCAAAAGTTGTGTTTAGATCAGACCGCAACGAATTTTTTTAATGATTAAAAGATAACGATCTTTTTACTTTTTTATCCTCACAGAAAAAGATCCAGATGGAAAAGCGCAAACTCCAGTGAGTTATCTTGATTTGACATTTATTTTGAATTTTAGAAATCTTTTGATGAATGTTTTTAACCTTTACAATTTTTTCATCTGACTTTTCATGCCTTTAGGTCTTTTCTTATGTAAGGAAATATTATTGTTTATTCATTAGTGAGATGTGAATGCATTGCATTTCCTTTCTTTGCCTCTTTCTTCTCTTCCTTTCTGTCTTTATAGAAATTTGTGATATGTGAGCTATGACTGTTCTGATGATGTTTTTTTCCTTTTTTTTTTTTTTTTGGTATTGAAGGAAAGACTCAGGGTTGTTAACGCGTATTCTGGTGTTGTTTGCTCCTTCTTTCCTATCGAGCATCTATCATCCTTATCTCTCCTTCTTCTTTTTTGTGTTTGTTACTCCCTTAAACCACCTCTAATCTTCGGAAATTTAATGACCTAATTGTTTTGCAAGTGCCATAAAATGCCTACTAAAGCAAAAAAGAAGAGAACACTGTTTAATAAAGTGTATTCATCTGCCAGCTTACAGCTAGGTTGTTATTTATATTTTCAAAAGTGAATTTTTTCTCAAAATTTTTAGATCTGGAGATTCTTTTTTTTTTCTAGTACATTGTCATATATTCAGTAATTCTATGTTTGCTCACTTCTCAATCTGAATAGTGTTTGCTGTCCTGTAAAATTTTGAGCATTTGAAGAGGTGCAGACACTCTAACTTGAATATGAACTTTTTGTCCTTTCCAAAGCTTGTCAACATTGTACTCAATCATCAATATAGCCTGATATCAAATGAAGCTATTCAACGCCTTATTTCTGTGAAATGGGAGAAGTTTGGAAGGTATCAAAATTCTCAATTTCAAATAAACAAAGAACCCTTCTGCAGTGAAAAAAGTTCACATATGTTTGAATTTTCTGGTGGGTGAAGTCATTTGCACAATAATGTTTTGTGCTGTTGATTGTGCACAACATTTCATTTCAAATGCAGTTTTGGAGGCAAACTCTTATAAATTAATGTTGAAATCAGATGGATTTGGACTCTTGAACCTAAAAAAAAGTATCAGCTTATTTCAATACGTACATTATTGTATTCATAGACACGTTTGTACACAATTTATTATGGTTGTAGTTGGTTCTTCCTTTGAGTGTACGGTCTTAATTATTGTCCTAGATGACCATAACCATTGTCAAGGAGAAAAGTGGTTGTCTTAAACAGGTGAATGTCTTGGACAGTGTCTTAATGATATTTAAAAAAGGGAAAGTGGGAAAGAATCATTTGTACAGCTCAGGTACTTTCTTTGATACGTGGCCATATGAGTGGGTTCGACTTATGGAATGATTCATGAATGAAATGATTGTTACTTTGCTCTACGGACATGTATAAGGGAAGTTGAGTTAAATTTGGTTTTACTAAAACTCCACCTTTGGACTATTTGAAGGAAAGGAAATAAGAGTATCACATAAAATTCCCGCACCTGCAGATGCTAAATTTCATCATTCAAAAAGAAGAATGAGGGAGAGAAGAAGGCACGAATGAACACTTCTTTACACGCACTTTTCTATTTTTGTCTTTTGCGTTGTCTTTTTGAGACATTGTGTGACACTTGTGTCCGTTAACCCTCTAATGATCATATCATTATTTGCTGGCGAGTGACAGGTCAGGCCTGTACTAGCTTTATTTTTTTGACGTCTTGAAACTGATTTTAGATTCTGGCTGCTCGGTATATGCATGCGATACAATTAGAAGAAGATTCCAGTCTTTGTTTAGAATACCCTTAACAAAGTCTCTGTCTCAGCTTTTGTAATATCCTGTCGTTACTGTGGGTGGTTGGCGGGTGCTCTGGTGTGGTTTGCTCCTTCTTTCCTATAAAAAATCTATCGTCTCTATCTCCCCTCCTTTTTTAAAATGTTTGTTACTCTCTTGTAACACTTCTAATCTTCGGCTCTTATATGACCTTTTTGTGTTGCAAGTGCCGTAAAACTGTTACTAAAACTAAAACGAAGTCCATCCTATGTTTTGCTTCCAGACAGCACCAGCTGACTGTCTGTTCCATGCAGCTGGTTTGATCTTTTTGGGTTTTTTTTGTAGTGCTGAAAGGGTTAATATGATTCTGTTCAAGACCAAAATGAAAAGACGCGTCTTAAACCTGCACACTCACAGATTATGTAACATCTCCACGATGTGTTGTTGTGGTCAATGCTCCAGTTAGAGATACCTGTTGCTGTTGTTGTTTATCCATTCCTAGCTGTAGTCAGAGTTTTACGGCACTTGCAACACAAATAGGTCATATAAGTGCCAGAGTCGAATAGAGGTCGAGTTACTACTATAGAAAGTTGCATACATACACACACAAAAAAGAAGGGGGTAAGATGAGCACGACGGATATTTGATAGGAAAGGAGGAGCACACCACACTAGAGCACTCACCACCCACCCACCCACCCACCCACATTGTTCGTCCATTGTCTAGTTTTTTTAGTAGAGGTTTTACGGCGCTCGCAACTGCATAAAGTCATATATGAGCACCAGAAGATTAGAGGTGTTGCAAGAGAGTGACAAACATAGAAAAGAAGAAGGGGAGATAAAGACAATAGATGTTTGATAGGAAAGAAGAAGCAAACCACACCAGAGCACTCACCACCCACCCAGCCTTATTGTTCGTCCTTTGTTGTCAACGGAGACTATAGATCGTCACTCAGAGCAGAGAGGTGTACATGTAGTAAAGTTCGTGCGTCTTTGTGTCCAGCGGTGACTAACAGTATTGTTGTAACTAATAAAACCGACACCTGTTCCCACCTTGTTTGTTTTCATTCACACAGCTCCATGTTGTGGTGGGCTTCCGCCAGTACGACCTTATAATGCACTCAGTTTTCATTCGCTTGAGTCAAGTCATGTGGCAGAGGTTTGGCAGGTATTAGAAACGGAATATTGTGCTTGTTTTTGCTTTCTGTGTCAAACGTAATGATAGTGATAAAATTCTTTTTAGTGAATGTAATTAAGACAGATTTAATAAATACATATACATACATACAAAAATGCTTTGAAATTTAATGATTGAAACTGCAACTAAGATGAGCTCCCTTCAGTTTTTCTTTCTCCTAAAGTAACTGTATCAAAGTTTTGTAACCTTCATGAAATTCTTATTGAGCTATGTTAAACATACACAAAGAAATGTTTAAACATACACAAAGAAATGTTTAAACATACACAAAGAAATGTAAGATTAGCTGTCTGAAAACTACTTTCAATCAATAAAAAAAGATAAATGGTTTTGTAAATCAATGGAGGTGTTGTTGAAAAAAGTATATAATACTGCGCATGGCATAAACAGTGTGCCTGGTTGGTTCCATTTGTTGAAAAAATTGTCCTGAAAATTTTATTTGCAAGCTGGCATGTTGTCATATACTTTATGATATAATATAATCTGTGAATTGAAATGTTCATAATTTCTCATACTATTGTTATAGTTATAGTGCTCTCAGTGAATACTTTCCCCTCTCTTTGCTGCCTGCTTTTAGGTTCTGGGCCCTGTTCAACCTGGGTCTGAACTTTCTCTACATCTTGATGTGGACGGTCATTGGAATGGTGGTGGAGTACGACCAGCGGCACATCTACACCATGCCGGAGGATGTGTGGAGGATCGTTTTGTTTGTATGTGATACTTTTTGGTCGGTTGTCATAGCATTAGATGTTTTACACCTCCATCAATACCCTTTAGATTATTTGGTCGCTTTTAAGCACAAAGGGGGCTATCCCAAAAAATGCTGGTTTGAGAAAATCGAAGGTAAAGTTTTTGCCCCTTGTTCAGTTTTTTTAAAAGACAAGGAAAGTTTTCTCTATAACCAAACAAATATACACACCAATGAAACCAAACTTCTCCTATAGATAGGGCAATGCCCACTTTTGGTGTAGGTCAAGATTTCTGGAAACCCCCGACATCTGGGTGAGCCAGCTTGTCCTTAACACTTTGCAGTCACTTGGTGCAATAATACGCTGGTGAAAATTATCCGTTCCGGTCATCTACTTGGTCAGGCCCGAGAAGTTTGTTGCAGTCATTCTCCTGGCTGGGTGACCGGGTGGGGTATTTTATACTTCTGGCTGTGTGGCTGCAAAGTGTTAAATAATAAATAAAATAAATAAATTACACTTTTATTTGTCCCAGAAGGGCGCTTTGTTTTACAATGGCAAACATACATACATAAATACATAATTATAAATACGTACATACATAAATACATACATGCATAAATACATACATAAATACACACTATTACACAAATACAGAACAGTTTACAAACAATGCCACTGTCGGTCGCCATTGTGCAGCGCCCTGTAATTTGAGCTAGGGTTGTCGTGTCTTGCTCAAGGACACACCCCAGTGACCACCCTTCTGATCCCCGTGTCACCGACACTTGCTTGACATTGCTTGAGTCAAAACTCACTACTCACTTAGCCACTGGAGCCCCCATTTAGGAGGTAGACTTCTTAGACCCTGCCTGTCAGAGCGGGCCAATCTGGGCTGAGAGGGGTACGATGTACCAGCAGATGGGTGGAGACACTTGATACAAACAATAACCCCTCCCCCCCCCTCAACCACCCCACTTGAGAATTGAATTCATGTCTTCTAAGTGGGATAGCTAGCATAACACCGAACCACTACATCACAGATGCCAGTGAATGTTGTTTGACCAGCTCAAAGTGTATTGCTGGCTCAAGTCAAGGGGCTAGTGACAGATATTTTGAAGTTACTAATGTACATTAAAAAAAACAACTACTGATTGTTAATGACAGAACAGATACTTAATTCATAAGTGTGGTTTTCAATCCATGGTGTACCTGTTTTTCTCCAATTTTATCATGAGTAGAGAAAAATTCAAGTTGAATCGTGTACGCTTTGCAACATGGTAGGCCTCTATGAAAATTTTAAAATTTTAGAATAGAAATTTTACCTATGATTTTTATCTTATGCAACATCTTTTGTCTTTATGAACATAGACATCTCTATATGGATATCGTTTTACTTTTCAGCTGGTTGCAGTGCTCTTCACCTTCTATCAGATATTTGAGGAGGTCATGGACTTCATCAGGTCACAGAGGGTGCACAGCGTGAGTAAAAATAACATTTATAACATTTCTCATTTCTTCTACCTGTCCCCGTCGTTTTTTGCAAGAAAAATTATGAAATTATGCAAACTGAGCCCAAAAATGTGAAATTATACGATTCTGTTAATTTTAACACAGAATGATAAAGGAAAATAATCAGAAATTATGCACACAAAAAAGATCAAATTTTGCTAAATTATGCGGGTTGCATAAAATCAGAGGGACAGTTCTACCAACGCTTAACACTTTGCCGCCTCATCTCGCCAATTAGCGATGTTTACCACCCAGTTTCTTTGGATTTTCCCCAAAATATGATAGCAAAGTGTTAATCCTGTAGTCAACTTTTGGAGGTCTAATGGAGGCCACAAATCTCTCTTTCTCTATCTTTTTTTTTTAGCAATGTGACCAGCAATGTTACCGTTATGAAGTTGATGTGGTTGTCTTTTGAGGAGATTTGAAAGTAATGTTGCAAATGCGTGAAGAGATTTGAAAGTAATGTTGCAAATGCGTGAAGAGATTTGAAAGTAATGTTGCAAGTGCATGTGGGGTCCAACAAATGTTACATCCTTTTCTTTGTTCAGCACACCATCTATCTTCATTAACAAAAATAACCATGACAACAATAACAACAGCAACAGCAACAGCAGCAATAACAGCAACTTTTCCTCATTGAATGTCATTTCATATTGGCTATTAAAAATTTTTTTAAAAACATAAATGAAGAAATTTGATTACGAATTATCTTGTTTTATTTTCCATACAGGAGTTTGAGAAAAAGCGTGTCGCAGAAATTGAAAGAGACTTGAAATTTTGTCACCCGAGATGGCCAGGGGAAGAGAAATATCTCAGAGAAGAAATTGAAGCCATTGAAGATTTGAAACCAAAGTATTTCAGTGACATGTGGTAAGTACAATAGAACTTAAGATAGTACAGTACTTTTCTTTACTTCTTTAACTCTTGAAGTATAGATAGATAGATAGATAGATAGATAGATAGATAGATAGATAGATAGATAGATAGATAGATAGATAGATAGATAGATAGATAGATAGATAGATAGATAGATATAGATAGATAAATAGATAGATAGATACATAGATAGATAGATACATAGATATAGATAGATAGATAGATAGATAGATAGATATAGATAGATAGATAGATAGATAGATATATATATATAAAACTTCCTTTAGATATGGAACTTTTTTGGGGGGAGGGGGGGGGGGGTTTGTGTAGGAATTACTTCTAAACACAGAGGCGCTTCATATGTTTAATGCATTTTCTCTTCTTTCCGTTCCGTAAGTTGTTTTCTGTACATCTGTCCTACTTTCTCTCTTTAGTTAACAATCATTCAGTTAACAATCATTCAGTTAACAATCATTCAGTTAACAATCATTATTGTGATAATGTATCTGCTTCTCTTTACTTATTCTCAAGCTCAGACCGAAACTGTGTTAGTTGTTTGTCCTTTAATATTGCTCCGTCATCTTGCTCTTTCTGGGTTTACTTTTCTCTACTTCTGTAACTCTTGAAGACTATAACAGTTCTGTTTTATGCTTTCCTGGTCACATATATCGTCGCTTTTAAGAACAAGGGGGCTATCCCGATAAATGCTGTTTTGAGAAAATCGAGGTTAAAGTTTTTGCCCCTTGTTCAGTTTCTTTAAAAGACAAGGAGAGTTTTCTCTATAACAAAACAAGTATACACAACAATGAAACCAAACTTCTCCTATTGGTAGGGCAATGCGCACTTTTGCTGTAGGTCAAGATTTCTGGAAGCCCACGAAATCTGGGTTAGCCCGCCTGTCCTTAAAAGCGACCAATTTTGACCTCATATAAAAACTGTATAGTTCAGTAAATTATTTATCTTGCAAATGCCTAGGACCCGCTCGATCTGATCCGCAGGAACATATTCGACTGGCTGTGCTATATCCTCCTGACTGTGTGCATTGTGACTCACATCGCTGACGTGATCGCTCACTCTGAGACTCTGGCGCGCCTGCACATCAGGATCATGTCCATCACCATCATCCTGCTGTGGCTGAGGCTCATGAAGAATGCCAGGGCTTTTGCCTTGCTAGGTAAAGCGTTACGCTGTTAAATTCTGCTTTTACGTTGCTAGGTAAAGTGCTAAGCTGTTAACTCTTTATCTGCTCGGATCCACACATGCGTCGTGCTGTATTTCACTGAACTGCTTGGGGCCGCACACACCGTAATTGCATTCTAGGGTGTGATAAAATGTGAATGCGAAGCTTTCTGATGGGAAGTCATGATTTTATGTTTCCCCAACTTTTGTGTGAAGAAAAATTTATGGATGTGTTTATGATTGCGTAACATAAAAGGATATATAAATTTCCCAACAAAATGCACATTTTATAAAAGTTCATTCATTTCCGGACATTTTGGTGTGTGCTACAACTATATTTCAGCGTATTTGATCTGGATATAGCTTTTCTTGTGTAACACCCTTGACCAGAATTTTTATCAAGGGGAAAAACCCCAACAAAATCTGTTCAAAACCACAAGCATATACAGAGTTAAGTTTTGTTTGACGAAACTGTTCTTTTTTTAAAAATCCGAGCAGAAACATGTCAACCATTATTGCAGATGTACGATACTTCAGATTTGGCACTTGTTAATGATGAAGAGATGATGATGATGATGATGATGAAGATGTTGTGGATTTACAGCGACCAATTTCAGTGTAGTCTTTCCTGGAATTCAGTTGAGCTGTTGTTGGACCAGGAATTACTTCATCCTTACAAAAAGAAGTTGGCTGAGTAGCAGTCAAGTTTTGTTTCATTTTCAAAGGGTTTTGCTTTCTGTCAAAAGTTTTGTTGTTTTGAATATCAAGAACAAGTCAGGTTAGATGTGCTTGTCTTTATTCAACTTTTTATAATTGCAGGTCCTTTCATTGTCATGCTGGGTCACATGCTGAAGGATTGTGCCAGGTTTTTGTTCCTGTACATGGAGTTTTATATTCCCTATCGTAAGTTTATGTGGGTGTTTCCCTCTATATTCCCTATCGTAAGTTTATGTGGGTGTTTCCTTCCTAAACTTTCTGTCAGTGGGTGGTTGGCGGGTGCTCTGGTGTGGTTTGCTCCTTCTTTCCTATCAAACATCTATCGTCCTTATCTCTCCTCCTTCTGTTTTATGTTTGTTACTCTCTTGTACACCCCCTAATCTTCGACACTTATATGACCTTATTGTGTTGCAAGTGCCGTAAAACACTTATTAAAACTAAACTAAACTTGCCGTCATAAATGTACATGTACTTGTGTTTCTGTTCTCTATGCTCACTGAAATTACAAGTTCACAGTGAAAGTGTTGTGTTTCAGTGGACTAAAAGATTTATCAGATCCCCCCCCCCCCCCATCTATTCATTTAACCCATTATTGATTTAACCCTTATGAGCCTGTGATTCTGACGATGATGTGAATGTTAGTAATATATGACTCAGGAGCCTGGGCAGAGGGGCACAGTAGCCTCAGGAGATCAGGGCTCAAAGGGTTAAAACTTGAAGTTTATGATCTGGTGAAATTACGTTTAAATGATAACCAGTCTGTGACATGTTGTGTAGATAAGCCTGGAGCATTTCTAGATTCATTTTTTTTTCTTCTTTTTGAAAAATATTTTTAGGTATAGCTGAAAAGCACTTCAACAAATCACTCGCATGATGGTGATGATGATGATATTCGTAATTTACTTTATTTAATTGAGTGTGAGCTGACCGCCTTGCATTTATCAAGGTACAGCATCAAGAATGGATGAAATAGTGACTGCATTTGGTGGAAAAAAAGGTGTGTTTTTTTTCTTTGTTAAAATCACAGTAAAACATGTTTTATCTAAAATTCCATAATTATGTTTCTTATTGTCTTTCGAATAAAGGCAGTGCATTAATTAACAATTGCTATTTTTTGTATCAGTGGCAGCTTTTTGGATGATCTTTGGGGGGACGAAAAAAGCTCGTGACAACTCTGGAGAGGAAGTCAGTGTTGATGGATATCAGTTCTTCGGCCAGCTCTTCTTCAGCATGTTGCGTCTCACTCTTGTGGATGAATACGACTATGACGTAAGTCTCAACTTAAGCTTGATGGCATAGTGAGAAAAATTGAGAATTTCATTGAGGCTTCAGACTGAAAAAGTTATGCACATCTTTGATGTGAAAGGAGAAAATTTTTAAGAAGAAAATTTTTTTGTCGCTATTCAGATTCGAACCCATGACCTAGTGAATGAGAGGCGAACATCTTAACCTCTAGACCATGAGAGCCCCCCCTTCCCCTCGCTTTTTTTGACTTTATAATGCTGTTGACATTTTTAATCGATAGTTTTGTGCAAATTGCCTTGCTGTGTTTTGCTCTGTTTTCATTTTTCAATACATAGATAAGTAGAAAAATGGATACATTTATGAATGAATGGATGGATTGGTTTGTGAACAGACTGATGGACTGATGAATTTAATGATGAACGGTCAAATGGATAGATATGATAGGTATATTTTTTAACGCATGTCTAAATTTCGTTCCACAGAACATGAAGAAAATTGATCATATCATGGCAGACATCTTACTTGCGACCTGGTTTTTACTGTCAGCCATTTTGTGCCTCAACTTGTTCATTGCTCTATTGTCAGACACATTTCAGAGGTAATTTTTGTTCTTTATGGCTTTAATGTATATTTGGCTGGTTTGGTTTTTTTGTGTTTTTTTCTATTTTATTATTGCTACAATAAAAATAATGACCCATGATATGAAACAAAAGAATACACACATGCTCACACACACAGACTTACACACAGACTTACACACAGACTTACACACAGACACGCACACACACACACACACACACACACACACACACACACACACACACACACACACATCTTGTTTTGGTTGTTGAATTATAGTTAGCAGATTAGCACGAAGCGCCACGATATAACCAAATTAAGGCCACATTTGAGTAAAGAACAGCACATCAACGTGATGATGGGCATGTGGCGTAAGGAAAAATAACCGAGACATGCCAACAGACTTACCAGTGGGGCCCACCCACTACGCTCAAATTCTACTATAAAGAAATTCTGATCAAAGCAACTCTGGAAAGAAATCGAAAGAGCTTGACACACCAGAGCTTTATTCTATGCATCTTTTGGCAATGATTTTGTGGTAGTGCAACAGCTGCATTTTTACTTATACCGTATATACTGTAATCGAAATCCACTATCCTCAAATTCTACCATAAAGAAATTCTGATCAAAGTTACTCTGGAAAGAAATCGAAGGAGCTTGCCACACCAGAGCTTTTTCTTATCCATCCTATCCATCCTTTGGCAATGATTCTTCTGTGGTACTGCAACAGCTACATTTTTACATACATACCGTGTATCTCTCTATCTCTGTATCTCTCTTGCCCTTTTCAACTCCCAGTGGAGCACAGGCCATCAACAGCATTACTCCAGCGAAGCCTGTCCTGAGCATCCTTTTCTATCTGTTTCCACCATGTATACTGTATTCGAAATCTATGCCGCTATTTTGTTTTCCATGGCCCTCATTTTGTTTTGGTATTTGCTATGCTTATTTTCTCTTTTGGTTTAATTTGGAACTGAAGCTTCTAAAAGCTCAAAATGTGGCAAACACTTCTCTGACAAACTTCATCTCTGTGGCCATATAGGAGAATCCACAAGTCAACTTTGACCCTTGTTCCTTCTGTTTCGCCAGAAATATTCTCCTTTGCAGGTGCATTAGTCATTGTCAGATATTGACGGGCGAATTAATATTATTGTTATTATTATTATTATTATTGTCGTTGTTATTATTATTGTTTTGATAATAATAATAACCATTATTATTACTAATATCATCATCATCATCATCATCATCCTTCTTCTTCTTCCTCTTCTTTTTCTTCTTTCTCTTCCTCTTCTCCTTCTCCTTTTCCTTCTCCTTCTCCTTCTCCTTCTCCTTCTTCTCCTTCTTGTCCTCTTCTTCATCTCCTTCTCTTTCTCCTCCTCCTCCTCCTCCTCCTCCTCCTCCTCACCCTCCTCCTCCTCCTCCTCCTCCTCCTCCTCCTCTTCTTCTTCTTCTTCATTGTGATTGTATTACAGTTGTATTTTCCTGTTGTGTCTGCTGCAGAGTTTACGACAATGCTCAAGCCAACGCCGTCATGCAGAAAGCCATCACCATCATCAACATTTGGGAAGGCATCAACAGAAAGCGCAAGAACAGATTCTGGGAGTACATCGAATCCACGTGCTCCCCGCTCATAGAAACGTATGATGATGACATGACTCAGACTGGCGATGAAGATTTGAAGAAAGTGACAATTCAGATAAAGGTATTCTTTTCATTTTTTAATCATGCAAAATTTTACTTTGGGAATAGATGTTTTGTAAAATATTGTTGCTGGTCAGATGGATACTTGCTTTTTATGTATCTTTGGTTTTTTGGTACTGTTCTTGGTATTGGGATGTTAAGACACTCATCTGGCTGCACGTTATGGTCTCATGGAAGCGATTTGGTTTCACTGCATGGAAAGGAGGGGATTTATATTCCCGCTTTGGAGCTTCAGTTTTTTGGTAATTGAACTTATGCTGGTATCATTTTTCCATATTTGTCTCTTCTCTTACTTGGTACAGATATTTAAGTCTTTCTTGTAGATGTACAAAGTAATGGGTAGCGTATTGAGACTCTTTTAAGATATATGTAGATACGTCTTTTGTGTGATGTTGTTTAAAATGTTACCGCAACACCATCACTAGTCTCTGCACAGAGGCGTCATGCCTTTAGCTGATTGTTGTTCATTCGCACTGTTCTCAAATTTTTGGTGTAAGGATTTTAAAAATCTATCTAGAAGTAAGGGAAAAGCCTGTCACTTTCCAGTGTTTCAAAGAAAAACTGTTTTTGTAAGATTTAAGACTGAACCGTTTAGGTCTTTTTTGTTTGTTTGTTTTTTTTGTTCAATCTTCTTAAAATCTATTGTCACCGTGTATGTTCTAACACAAAGCTGTCCTCTGTCATTGTCTTTGATCATTTTGCATGGCTCTTCAAGCAACACTTCACTTTGAAGACTGCACCCTGTTGTTCTTTGTCCTCTATTTGGTTTCTGTTAACAATTATATTGTAAGATTATATTGTAAGAAAAGGGACCCGACTGACTGGACGGAATAGTTTGAAAGGTCAGGTAACACACTTCCAAAATAAAGCATCTTTAGTTATCAATACATTATTATTCTGTTGTTTTATTTTCTTATCCCCACAGTGAAAATATAATTAATATGTTGCACAAGGACTTTGTACTGCTCTCATCAGCAATAAGTATTAAGGAGCTTTGGTGACTATTTATTTTAACGTTTGCTTCGTTAAAATTAGTTTAACATATTTATGAGAGCTGATGGGTACTGGGGTAATATCACAGCGGCACCATGCCACTCCGGAAATGGGACAGAGTAACGGAATATCTTTGAGAATGTTTCATTTTACGTGTGCTGTCTTGTACTAACACTCCTTGCATATCCCTCTCTGAGCAAGTTTGCAACTTACTTGTTTGGTTTATGTTCTTCAATGTTGATCGGTTCCAGCGGCTGATGTTTTGTTTTTTTGTCAGCTGGCTTCACATTTTTGTTTGTCCTTGATTTTCGATGATATTCTGAGCTGCTGCTCTCTTGTAAATAGATGTGCTCACGTGTGTTATGAGCTTGTTTTGCGAGTGGTTGATAAAGCTTGTTTTTCAGGTGGCCCATCGCTGACATTTCACGTATTTGCCCATCTCTTTATATTTCTTACATGTTCAAGTTTTGCTTTTTCCTTCCACTGAAATTGTTTCCAGGAAGATCTTGATCATTTTCAAGAAATGTTCAAACTTCACTTCGGCGACCCAACATCTCAGCTGCTGGTAAGCTCTTTGATTTTGAGAACAAAGCCTTATGCTGTAAACTTATTTTCTTAAAACATTTTAATTTGACAAATGGGAAGGGGTAAATGACCAGTATTATAAAGCACTTATAATTACTCCCATGTGCTGCCATTTTACTTTTAAGCATACACAAACACATCCAGCGCCGGCACACGCATCCCTTGTACACACATACAAACATTCTTTGCACACATACACACACATGCATATATAAACACACACTTACACACACTCACACTCACACACACAGACACTCTCACACACACACAAACACACACACACACACTTACACTCACTCACACTCTCTCTCTCACACACACACACACACACACACACACACACACACACACACACACACACACACACATACGCACTTACAGTTACACACACAGATACACACACAGATACACACACACACACACACACTCACACACACACACACACACATACGCACTCACAGTTACACACACACACACACACACACACACACACACACACACACACACATGTACAGATACACACACAGATACACACACACATGCACAGATACACACACAGATACACACATACACACACATACGCACTCACAGTTACACACACAGATACACACACACACACTTTAGTGTGTATGTTCTTGCCTTTACACACATATGTACTTATGTACATGAGCTCACATAATATAGCGAGAGAGTTTTACTTGCGTTCTCCGCTAAAAGGGAAAGGTGTGGAATGAACAGCTAGCCTCTCATGTTATCTCCGCAGACATAGACTTATTGGAACTATTTCACCATTTCACCATTCTCTGCAACTGAATGATCAGTCTTTCTATCTAGGAGGGTTGAGTCCTTCTTCGTGCAAAATCAAAATTATTATTTATTGAAACTGGGAAAATATGAGCCATTGATTTCATTTCCAATACCAGAAACAATGATTCCAAATACAACAAATTACGTAGAAAGCATGGGAAGGTAGATTTGATTTTTCTTTGTCTGTGGTCAGTGTCTTAAAAAGTCACACCTCATCTATAGGGGCAAAGTGAACCGAAGTCAACAAACCTTATCTATAGAGGGGTAAACACAGCAGACTTTGGGATGGTAGTATCTGAGAGCGACTGATTGTCAAGACAATGAGCAGATAGTCAAAAGTTTTCTTAGACAATAACCAGTGGCTCAACATGTACTTGGCTTCCTTTGATGAGGGTGACTCATTTTTGGCTGACAGGTTTGTGAAGAAAAAAATGGTGAAATGGTATGGGTCTAACGCCCCTATCAACACTATTCTATTAGGTTATTCAAGAGGCGGGGCCTCCTAGTTTAACGTCCGTCTCCAAAAGGACAGAGCCAAGTGGGAAATTCGTGTAAAGTGCCTTTCCCAAGGACACAACGTCGGACCGAGCTGAGGCTCGAACCCCCGAACCCGCTATCTCACGATTGTGAGTCCAGTAGCCTCCTTTCTCAGTGGAGCTTAGTGACATTATATTTGACAAACAGGAAGATGGCACAATGCAGCAGTTGGAGAGGTTGCCAGTATAGTGGAGATTTACCCAGAAATATTTGTGCTGCTAAAGAAGTAGCTTTTTGTTTCACATAGGATAAGGGATGGATAATAATCCTGCTGGTGTTTGGAAGCTTTCATAGATAGAAATGTAGAACAAGTACTCTCAATGAGTCTCCAGTTTCAGAATTATGCTTTCCCAATGCACTGCGCGTAGGTACAATGCTCCCTTCAGGGGTGCGAAAAAGCCTTCACATTCGAGGGCAATCTCATATATGATGTCATCCGTAAAAATGTGTACAGCCTATTATTTTTTTCCAAAATAAGTTGCAAGCAAGGATGGATAAATTGGTGCTGTGGAAAGTTTTTTCATCACTGTTCCTTAGGGGGGGAGGGGGAGGGATAAAAATTATTTATATTTTGATGACAATACTTATATGATTTTATAAACAAAGGTGTTTTTTGTTGGGATTCTTTAAAAAAAATAAAGGTTAAGACTCTATATCCTGACTTACTGTAGGCTTCCAGGGAAAAAGTGGATGAATACAGAAAAAGTGAAATAAAAAGACTGTCAATCTTAGAAAGTTATCACGTGTAAGACTGAACCAGAGATTCACCCCCAAAACTAGAAGCACATGTATTTATCTGATGCTTCCAGTATTTGCGCTGCAAATTTGAGATCCTCAGACTTTTTTCCCTCTCTCCAGGGTAGCAATTTGGCTGCGGCGCCAAGTAGAAGTGGGGGAGGTGGAGGTGGTAAAGGAGGCACTTTGGTGTCCGCCCGTCAGTTTGAGGCTGAGGTAGAGGATCTGAGAGAGTCTTTGAAGACGGTCAAATCCCAGCAGGAAGAGATGGCTCTGAGACTGAAGAAAGACATGTCGTCCGTCAAATCTATGCTCAAACTCTTGTTAGGAAAAGAACCAACAGGTAAACAAAGAAGAAAAAAACAATTTGAAACAAATGTGAGGCGTGCTGACAAAATGAGTTACTTCTTGCAATCCACGAATGGATACGTGGGCCGAAAATACACACATCAAATTTGTAAATTTTAAACTGATCCTTTTTTCTTCAAGTTTAATGCCTTTTATCATTCCATATGCACAATTATATCAACCTAAACAATAGCTTTGATATAATCTATCTGTGTCCATGAGACTGGAATTCGAAAAGTAACTCATTTTGTCAGCATCCTTCACAAATAAAATTATGTAGTGTTGTAGTGCAAGTATTTCTTTTAACCTACATTGGTATTTTTGTTTCTGTACTGCCATATGTGCTTGAAGGTCACAGGTGAAGCCATGAGAAAGTTTCACCCACTCACTATGTGTTGAGGCAGATAAGAACTCCACTATAGAAAAAGGAAAAGCAGGCACTGCTATCTATGGCGAGCTGTGATGTTTGTGATCTTTACGAGTTATTTGCTTATATTTCCTTTACTTTGGTTTCTTTACCATGCTATAGCTGCTTGCAGTAGCTTGCAAGATCCACAACTCTTCCTCCCCTCTGGGTATCAAAAGTCATCATCGGGTCATGATGGATGAACTGTTATCCTTGCTGCCATGTTCGCAGTGAACTCGGTATAGAAATGTTTACGTTGTGGGCTGTTGGTATGTTAAAAGTGTTTAAAGAGAAGTTTTGTACAATAAAACTGCAACATAAGAAAAGCAGTTTGCTTGTAAGTTTTTATTTTTGTCTCAAATACATAAGTTTACAGTTTTGGGATATACGTGCAAAATGTTCACTCTTCAAGGGGAGTAACTGTCCGTCTTTCTCTAGTTCACTGAAAATATCAGCAATGTCAGTAACATCAAAATATTCACTTGAAATAATTATAACAACTGTTATCTTATCAAAGCATGACAACCAGGACTACTAAAATGTTTGGGACCTGCCCTTTTCCACACTCTTCCTCTGTTCCTTCGTATTGCTTCTAAACTGTGAAAAAAAAGTGCCTTTTTCCTGCCCTTCCTTGGAGTCAACACAAAATTGACATGAAGTTCACACAGTTATTCTCATTTCTCGTGCAGGTGGAGCGTATGAAATTGAAGAAACAAGTCTGATTCCAAGGTATGCTTTTCCCCTACAATTATGTATTTGGAATTTGATTTTAAGACTGAAAATGATATTGATATTACTCAAAATTGATTCAAATTGTGTTATCATGCTGTTTTTTGACGGCAATATTAAGTTCATGTCGCCATCGAGAAAGTAAAACAGTTGAGAACTGGCCACTCCTTCCCTCATTCCCCCCCCCCCCCTTCCACAAAACCCAGTGCCCTCAATGACTTGTAGTTCTTTGCATTTAAGGTTAATTTTTACTTTTAATAATCCCATACCATCAGATCCATTGGGAAGAGCTAATTGGAGTGATGTTCCCCTTGATTCTGGTCAAAGCAGTCTGTCGTATAGTTGTGTTCGTTATTTATCTTTGAGACACAAGGACTTCAGTTGTATATAGAGATGAGTCCTCTTCAGCCCGAAATCTGCGGGACTGTCGGATTTTCCGTGGTTTAGCGGAGTATTCAGTTTTCAAGGTTGCTCAAGTGGAAGAAAAATACTCAGGGAAATTAATTTTCTGTCAACTTACCACTGTTTTCCGATTAACCTTGTTTGGTTTAAGCGGACTCCTCTTTATATCAGAACTGTTTGTCATCTATTATAGGAGAAGTCTAAGAAAGCTTGTTGTCAAATTGTGAAGTAAAGGGGCATGTCAGTATTCTGTAATCTTTAGATTTTCATTGAGTTTATGCCTCTCATACTTATTCTTTCCATTTTTCTGTTTTCTTTGAAGTGAAATGACACCTGTTGCAAAAATGAGGAGGAAAAAGAAGAAGTCGCAGGCTGCGAGGGAAGTGCAGAAGACATCGACAGAGCTTCAGTCGCAACAATGTAAGTGTTTGTATATTTGACTTTTGATTTGAAGCTGGGTCGAACTTTGTTGCTTTTAAATTTATTTTGACTTGGGAGAGTGAGGTATTCTTGGAGCAACTATTAAACATAAAGTAATTATTGTTTTCAAATGTTTATCTCTGCTACACATGAAGATTGTTTTGTATTGAACATGTTTATAGCCCTTTTTGTTTAGCTATCTTAGTGACTACAGACTTGTCATTGCTTTGACTTAACAATCTCTGCCACTTGTGCCATTAAGGAGGAGAAGAGCATTGATCAGTTGCTCTTTTTTTTTAATATTCTTTTCTTGACTATGGTTTGAGATTATGCTAGACAACTAATAGTGCCTTATCTCGGTGTTTATGATATATCTGTTTTGTTACTCCATATTTCTCTGTCTAAACGGTAAAAACTTAAAAATTATGGAGTGCATCATTTACCCAATTTTTTTTCACAATATTCTTGGGGGATGTGTACCTGGTGACACCTTATGACTACACGACTTCATTGAGATGATATTGTTTGTTCATCATCCCTTTTTGTTCCACAGTTTCACCGTTGCTGGATATCGGTTCCACAGAATTTACTCCAGCAACATTTATCGATCCCAGCATGCCTGTCTCTCTTCCAGCCGTTGATGTTACCTCTACATCGTCTTCTCAGCACCCTTCAGTGAGTGCTGTGAGCGTATAAAAAAGCTAGGATTGAATAAGTTCTAGTTTCCCAGCCTGTACTCGTTGATCCTCTCTTTACATATATATATATATATATCTTTCCGAAAGGACAAGTCAAGGAAACTGAATTGCAACCTGTGTTTTTTAATTTGGTATTAACAAAATGTCTTTCAAAATTATGAGTACTGAGTTATAACTTTATGGGATATTTCTTATAAGAAACATCTGGTATTCGAGTATTGCCTGACTGTATTTGAACTCCAGATCCATTAACGTATTGACTTAAGGTTGTGTGCCTGTGTGCTGCAAGGGGTTTTCATGTTTACTCAAGGTTGTATCATACGGTAAAAAATTGTTGCCGTTTTAAAAATTCACTTGCTATATGTTTTCTTGTATCTAAATTTGTGACTCTTGCTCTTCTTTGTCCGAAGGCCAAATTAAGTGACTGAGCTTCTTGTAGGAGTTTCAAAATTCACCTTAAAAATATCTAGGATATCAAATTCAAGTCTCTTTGATGACTTTTATTTCAAGAAATTATTGTTAGTACTTGATCAGAGACGGATAACAAAATGCTTTAGAAAGGATTTTTTTTTTTTTAATGTTTTTCAGAAACCATCATAATGTGCTCTTCAATAAGATTGCGGTGAATGTGTCTAAGAATATCACCCTCTAGATCTCTTTTCTAGTTTTGAAGGGAGGATGGGGGGTGGGGTGGATTTTTTCTCACTTTCTAGAATGTGGCCTAATGGGAGCTCTAATGGGTTCTGTTATTTGTTTTGAATGTGCTCATTGGCAATCAGTTGGTTAATCATAATTTTGGACATCTGCAGATTTATTGTCATCTAAATTGCTTTCTTTTAGGGCCAAATAGTGGACGAACTAATTATTGTCGCGTCTAACACAGAAGTAGGCATTTATGTAATTCATTGTTCTGCCATGTTCATTTCTTAGAATGATTTTTGCAGAAGTAGTAACTTGACATCAAATCTATTATACTTTAACAGAGATATTGACAGGCGTAAGGAGATTTTGTTTTTCCTGCTTTTTTTTTCTTGTAATTTAATTTGCTTCAATTAGGATATCATCAGAGATTTGATTTATTTTCATTTCTTCAACCTTGATTTTTCCATTATCTTTTTCAGCAGCAGCTTAGTTTTTATTTTATTTATATTTTAGAATGTGATTTGGACAATTGTATTTTTTGGAAATTTTCGAATGTTTTGTTTCACATGTTAGAACTTTTGTATGTTTTGTAATCTCTGCTTGCTGATTGTATGTTTTTGCACGGAAAATTATATATGTAAAAATTGTTTGTTTGTACAAATATCATATGCTTTGCTTCAATCTGACTAACCTTTTTCATTATTATTTATGCTTTTTGTGCTCGCATCTGTTTCTGTTTCTTTTGTGTTTGTGTTTGTCTTTTTTTCACTGGAAAAGTGATTGGCTTTTATAAAAATCAGTTTTAGTGAAAAATGTATTTAGCATGCACAGGAGTTTTTCTGACAGCAATATGGTCTCATGCCTCAAGTCAAGTGAGCACTTGTTCTGTTTTGTTGGAAGATTTGTTTTTATAATAGTATCCATGAATTAAGGGTCATGTAGGACTGATAACGGGAACCGAGATCAGGAAAATAAAATGGAGGTGGATCATGGCAAGTAAGTTTTCCCTCACATGATCAGCAGCTTCAGAATGTTTATAGATCTATCCTCTTATTGAACTGCCATTTTCCTCTTTGTGTTTATTTTTCTTCTAAGTTTTGCTCACTAGTAGCTGTGTATTTATTTAGAATAAAACCTCACCTTCTCCTCTGTTTTTGTAGTGCCAAAATTTTCTGGACTTATTTTATTACAAGGAATACAAGAGGAGGGGTTTTGAAGTTATGTCTGAATTATGTTTCTTTCTCTTTTTATGACATGAGTCACTTTATTCTGGCTTGTAGCACCCAGCCAACATTCTAGAAGCTGTAGTAGGAGAACACAGGAGAAGAACAAAAATGGAAAAAAAAATGTCATAACAATGTAGAAAGTTTTGATTGAAATTTCTCTTGCCTTCCTTGAGCACACTCTGTTGTATCTGAAATATATTGGAAAGACATATCGTAGTACGGCTTCTTTTTCTTCTACGAGTCCTGCTGAAATGATTATACGGTATTTATTTTCCCGTCTTTCTCTGTATTATCCGATGCCCATCTCATCAACTGCAATTTATAAATCTTTTTGGAAATTCTTCCTCTCTTTTTCTGTATGCCTTTTTCCCTATGTATCCTCTTGCATTTTGCTTTGCGGTAGAGATTTTATATGAATCTGAGATAGTAGATATTTATGGTTTTGTTGCGTATAACCACGCCATTGCTGGCAAGTCTTCAGACAAGTCTTGACTTCCCTCTTCTATTGGTTTTGACTTTCTGCCATCTATTTCAGATTTCACAGTTAAGCTCCGTTTAGGTCATGTCTCTCTTGCAAGCATCTTTGCAACCTAGCAGTAGAAGTTGACCTTTTGTCCTCACTTCCTTTCTATTGTTTTCCATAGAGGAAGCCTTATGGTACCCTCCCATTTTTCATGGGGCAAAGGTGTCCATTGAATGTCTTTGTGTGCACTGTATGAGAGAAGAAATCCCATGTACAGTGGGAACTCCGGATCTCAATTCTTTTGAATAACATTGTGGGTTTGCCATATTATTTATTGTTCCAAGAATCATTCTTAGGCATCTCTCATGTTCATCAGCTAATGTGAATATGTTGCGGTGGTCTCAGTGGTGTACAGCCAAGTGCTCAGAATGCATTCTTGGTGAACTTTCACCTCGGTATTGATGAGGTTTCGGTTACACCAAGTTTTAACCCTATTTTAACTATTTTACTATCATATCCATACGACGTTGGGAACTCTGTGCTTCCACTTTCAAAGAAGAAATTTACTCGTTAATCTGATCCGTACGCCTTGCATAGCAGTCTGTCAGAATTATTTTTTGAGAAATACTGAAAGTTTCAAAGAGATCTTCGTATTAGAAGTATTCTAAAATGTGAAGAATATTACCCCGGAAGTACAAAATGACCCCAGGGCGTACGGATAGGGTTAATAAACAATGTGCTCATGTATGTGGAACTTTTGCAAACTATTGTTCTAGTTCTGTCTAATAGTGGAGCAACTTCTTAAAGTATTCCATTTCCAACGACAATTCCCGAGGTTTTTTTTAAAGCTTTTAATAGGTAGAAAACACTCATGTTTTCTTTCCAATCGTCAAACCATGGTCAAAGTGCACCTGAGCCCTCGGTTCAGAACTTACTTGACCTAATACGTACTTCCCTGGTCTCCAGTCTCCGTGGGTCCACATTTGGGTCGCTGTGATGTGATGCGCAAAAGAATGGCTGTATATTATCCCACTCAGAGTGGGATAGCCATGGCTGGCAGGGTCAAAGAAACCTGCCTTCTACATTTAATAAGTTTTAAACGATCTAAATGTTGTGAGTAGGGGTGTAAAACATTTGAATCATCATTCACCTCGCTACATGCACTCTGGACGCTCTTGCAAAGTTCAGTCCGACACTTTTGACACATTGCCTTATGTAGATTGCCCTTTTTAGCTACTAATGATTCAATGGCGTTTATTTATAGCTTCTTCTTATCATTGTTGATTTTTCATGTAATATTTTTGACAATTTGTAATGCAGCTGAAGTGCAGTTTAAACGTACAGGATGCACAAAGTCCTGAATGGTCAGGCGATTTGAAAAGGGGTGTGGGTTAAGAGAAAGAGGAGAGTCAAGACTGTCAATGTCTGTTTATGGGGAGGAGAAGGAGGCAGAGGAGGACGAAGACAAGAATAATAATAAGAAGAAGTGGCCTCGGTAGTGCAGTTTTCTACTACTGCTTACTAGCTCAAAGTTTGGATCTGAATGGGATCTGATTTTTTTTGTTCTCCTGTGGAGAATATTTTCATCTCAGCATGGTGTCCCAAGTGGACGGGGGGTGTGTAGGAGGGGGAGAGGTGGGTGGAGGCACAGACACGCTGTCTATTTGAAAAGTTTCTTCAGGTATATAGGTCAATCCTGACATTACCAGCTGAAGTGGAACATTGCAACTGTTTTAAGAAAAAGGCTTTTTTATTATCAATGTTGTACTTTGCCCTAAAATTCGGAGGACTCATGCGTCATGGTCAGAAAATACGACTTTTATTGAATGATATGTGAAAATAGAGCCGTGAGTATCAGAGATATTTTAAACACGTAGTTATTCTCCATTCCTCCTCCGTGGAGTTCTCAGGTGATCTTGCCCTACTTTTGGACAATATTATGATTAGTTTTGTTTTATGACACTTGATATAATATATTCTTTTGTATTTGTGAAGCATGCTGACAAAATGAGTTACTTCTCGGATTTGAGCCCTTTGGTAATAGATACATCACGCTTATAGGTGAAGTTTTTACAATTTAAAAGAATGAAATAATAAAGGCATGTTACACTTTAAAAATATGGCATCAATAGAAAATCTACAAATTTGACCCGAATGTCAATTTTTGGCCAATATCATCTCCATTTGTGGATTGCGAGAAGTAACTCATTTTGTCAGCTCACCTGACATTTGTTTCTGTCAATCATTATAAAATAGTTGTCTTTGCTGATGAGCGGTGAAGCTCTTTGCTGTCGTATGAAAAAGATGTGAGTCTGTGTAACCCAATGACTGATTTTTCCGTCTGCTTTATGTGTCTCCGCAGAACGTAGATGGCCCCTCCAGCACCTGCTGACCTCTGACCTGACCTGACGGAAAGTTCGCCTCAATATGATCAGAGAATTCCCCATGCAGAAAATTTATTAGGAGCCAGTTTCTGCTTTTGATCAAAGAGCTAACACTGTTGATTTTTCTACTAACATGTTGAGATCGGAGACTGTCCATACGTATGTGTGTGTGGATGGATTGCGGGTGCTCTGGTGGGGTTTGCTCCTTCTTTCCTATCAAACATCTATCGTCGTTATCTCCTCTCCTTCTTTTTTGTGTTTGTTACTCTTCGGCACTTATATGACCTCATTGTGTTGCAAGTGCCGTAAAACTCCTACTAAAACTAAAATACGTAGGAGTGTGTTTGTGTGTGTGTGTGTGTGTGTGTGTGTGTGTGTGTGTGTGTGTGTGTGTGTGTGTGTGTGTGTGTGTGTGTGTGATTCTCTCTGTGTCATGCGTCTGGGTGAGAAGATGAGGCTTTTGACAGATGCTGAAAGCTCCGTTGTAAATAAATAGGCTGACTTATTTGCCAAAACAATACAGAATAGAAAGTTTCATCTGAGACGAGTGTCTTGTATGTTAGAAATTCCATTCTTAAATGTTTTAAGGTATGGTAGAGTGAAAAAGAACTGTGTGAGTACAGTTAAGTGGTTCTGACAAATAGCATATATACATATTTAGTTTGTAGTTCTCAAGACTTAATTTGCTTTTTAGTGTGTTGTATTCTATAGATGTATTGCATCTGTAATATATGATATGAACATGACATTTTAAAACATTTTACTTAAAATTATATTTTTAAAGTTTGATTATATAAGAAAAAGTAGGTTAGTTTGTAATTGAAGATGATTTTGATATATTATATGTAAGGCTTATCTTCCTAGCACTGTTGTTACAATTTTGAAGGGAAATTTTATGGATAGCCTTGAAATAGAAAAAGAGTGTGGCCAAGTGAAATGGAATAACCAAAGAACAGCATTCTTGTAAGAAATGTTTTATATATATCTTTGTTTTGTCGTGTATTATTCAGCTGAAGAATTATACTGACTCTCAGAATGAAATTGTTGCATCTAAAAAGCTGAAAATTTTACAAAGTTTAAAAGACTTATCTGTATTTACATTGCTCAAAAGTTTATTTTTTAAGGTATAAATTCATATATTTTTAATATTGAAATTTATACTTATATCAAGCATACTAGACACATAGTAAGGACACATTTAAACTTTCTAAGCCTATAATATGTTGGGTGGACTCCGTAGAATTTTAACTTGTTTTAATTTTGATCCAATCTTCACTGAGATCCCTTCTGATGATCTCAATTTTGGAGATGTGGGCATAAATCATATACCACAATCAGAATATCCCTTTGCCAACATTCAGAGTCTCTGTTAAGGGGCAAGTTGTTCTCTCTCTCTCTCTCTCTCTCTCTCTCTCTCTCTCTCTCTCTCCCTCCCTCCCTCCCTCCCTCCCTCATTCCCTCCCTCCCTCCCTCCCTCCCTCCCTCTCTCTCTCTCTCTCTCTCTCTTTCTCTCTCTCTCTCTCTCTCCTCTCTCTCTCTCTCTCTCTCTCCTCTCTCTCTCTCTCTCTCTCTCTCTCTCTCCTCTCTCTCTCTCTCTCTCTCTTCTGGCACTGTGGCTTCATAAACGGTCAGCAATGCTGACAGCACGGAGGAACTCAACACTTGCTTGGGGGTCCATGAAAAGTGGTGAGTGTGGGTCACTGAAATGTCGCAGCAGATGTCGTGTTCTGGCATGAAAGGAACACGTGGTCCATAGTCTCGTCCTCCTCCTTGAAGGCTCGACGGGATGGATCTGGGTATTCCGCTGGTGCAATTTTGTGGAGATATGATATCTCAGCTTGGGCGATTTTCCACCAGTTCTCATTTGGGAGAGAACCCGGCGGTCCTGTCGTCACTCACTGATACCATTTTGTCCCTACAGTCTAAACTCTTTTGCCCATTTCTCCAAAGCACCCAGCAGGCAAAAATAAAAAGAGCTGTGATTCCCTTGATACCTCAGACCTCATGCAAAATCACTATAGCAACTGCTTAAAAATTAAACTGGAGCAGTTACTTCTGTATGCTTATTTAAGTTTGCCTTGAGAAATGGAATTTCAAGCTGTAAGTAGGAGTATGGAATTTTAAAAACTGTTTTTAGAGAAAAAAAGATTCTGTCTGGTTTAATTTTGAGAATTGGAATACTAGAAATATCGTTGTCAGAAATATGTGTGGCTTTTGAACAGAAGGATTAGAGAGACCACAGATATTTCAGGCATTTTGCAAGTAAAAAGATGTACATGTATTACTTTGTGAGTAACCTTACTACTCTCTGTATTATGTAAGGCCATACATGATTATGTACTTTGTGCTATTTACAAGGAAGTAATTTTTCTTAAGTAAGAAAGAGTTAGTTACATGGTCAGTTTCAGAGAGAAAGAAAAGCACTGTTTGAAATGACCCATTCTGTCAGGTACTGACTTACTTTACATTTTCTGAAGGGTCTTGTCTTCTTAGGCTTTACATATGTGCGCAAACAGTTTGTAACTGGATGATTATATATTATCATAAGCTTGATGCTTGCGACGTTAAACATTAAGACATATTTTTCTACCAAAAGTCTGTTGAAATGTTGAACTATTTAAAAGAATTTTTGGTACAAAAATTGGTGCTTGTACCTTCTATCTATTGAGACAAAGAGAGTTGGGTAACATATCCTGTATATATATGTTTAAGGCGACTTTCTTCTCTGATTTTGATTTTGATATAATCAACTCTTTCATAGATGGTTAATACTACATTTGTTTTTTGCTGTGACTTGTTTGCATCATTGTTGATCCGTGTTATAATCATGACAACCAGGCCTTATTGGCAGCACAATATGCAAAATACAAATAAACTAACAAGAGTGTCGTTGCATGCTTTTGATATACTGATGAGTTTTATTTATAAATCTTGTTGGACTGGCTCACTAGGGTCTTCTCATTGCAAGTTTGAAATCTGTGCTATCCTTCTCATGCCAAAATTGTTTTTCAATCCTTTTTTGTGTTAAGAGTTTTATCTGACAGTCTAAATTTCAGTAAGTGTTGGAGGATACATAGTTCAACGTTGAACAGTGTTGTACTTTTTTCCTACATTTTCAAGAAAAATTAATTTGGTTGAAGGACTCGAGTTATAAGTCCTTCTTTTTTTTTCTCACCCTCAAAAGTTACTTTCTGTCTGTCTTGCTTTTTCACAGTTTTCTATGCCCATTAGTATGTCAATGTGCTTGTTTTTACTCAAGCTCACACTCAAGAAATTAAAATGACATCTGCGCTGTAAGTATATATCCAGAACTGTTCTGACGATTTGAATTCCTGGAGAGCAAGTTTCTGCATCATTGAGCTGCAAACAAGTATGTGAGGCAGCGTGGTGGAATCAGGCTCTCATCAAAATAATCAAAGTCAAGAAACTTGCATTTTTCCGCAGGTTTATGAATTTTTATGATTTTTTTTTTTGTTCAACACTTTTCATGCCCATTAAAGAACTCATTTCTGTGTGGATTTTTCTGAAAAAGGTTGATTAAAGGCACAAAGAATGTAAATTTTCAGTTACCACGGACTCTGAAACTAATGAAATAACTAATCTTTGGCGGTCATTTTCTCTCTAATTTTATCTCTGAAAACAGGTGACCCCCTCCTCCTTCATTCGGCAAATGAACAAACTTTAAGATAATACCAATAACTCTAAATGCCCAAAAATTGACGAGGGCCTGATTCCACCACGCTGCATCACATATCCTCACCATTGTTTTTGTGTTTGACTTCTCCCTACTTTTAGTCCCACATATATATATATATATATATATATATGTACTCATTTTCAATAGTGGTTGTGTTGAACAATTGTCAGGCTTTCTGTGAGATGTTACAGGATACTCAATATTTAATCTGTAAACTGGTTGCGTATGTATGCAGACCTTATGAAAACATCATTTTGATACTTCTATGTCAATGAAGAGCAACTAGTTTTTTTCCCTTGAGTGTGAAAATAGGCCAAAGTAAGTAAAAAATTGTTTTACATAAATAAATCTGAGGGAATGATAACCCTTTATAAAACGATAGCTTATATTTTCTTTGCAAACATTTTTTTCATGTTGACGTAAATGCCTTTCTGTATTTGAGCCAAAAGTCTTTTATCAGATAGATGAACAGTGGAATGTGAATACGTCTAGCCAGTGTGTGCAGCAAATAATGTTTGTAATGTTCTGCATGCACATATTATGCTACTGTCATTGCTATAGCCAAATCACTACCTTTGAAGATTTATGAATATCTATCTGCTCGGTAGCTTGTTAATTTTGAGAAATTTGATGCTGAAAATGTTTAGTTTTACAACATGTCAAGCATAATTATTTTAATATGCGATTTCAAATAATCTTACGATTTTGGTAGAGCTGATAGAACATTTGGTTTCTGACCTCATGGTCTTAGTAACTCAATTACATGGCCAAAAATGACAGATAGAACTTTGTAACTCTAAGGTAGGGAACTATTACTTTGTAATGTATGACAATTGATCGTAACGGTAAGATAGCGAAGTCTCTTACTGGGCATTCGAAATTGAGCTTTAAGGAATTTTCTGATATCATGTACATGTTCTATATTATTTTGATTGCTGGCTAGAGGGCCCTGAAGAACAAAAAGGTTTATAAGTATATTGTATTTTATATGCAGGTTGTATATTTATTATGTTTTTTTATTTTTTGTAAGAGATTCCTCTACATTTTCTGTGATATTTTGAAATTTGATCTTTTTAAATGTATAAAAGGAGGTCACTTTTCCATGCCCCGAATACAGATCCGCTGTTACATCACTCCTGATGTCATGTCATTCTCTGGATGTCATGCTGTCATAAGTGGAGATTTTTTGTGTGATTTATGGCTATGTGAAGCAGGTTCAAACTCTTAATTTTTGCTGCAACTAAGATATTATGTTTTTACCTAGCCTACCATCATGATCAGCAAAATATATGAGGTACCGTACATCGAATGGGGATCAATAATTTGATTAAATGGAGACATCATTACTCTGAATTTCATGAAATCACTAAAAAGTAGTGTTAAAAGCGCCAAAATAGTTTTTAGCTTGTAAACAAAAAGAACACATTTGGACAGTATTAGCATTTTTTTCCAAACACTGAATATAGTATAATTGACATTCTTATTCAATACCATCAGAAGTCCCGCATATATACATTAATTGTCTGGACACA